TAGGGAAACTAACATACAGAAGATGCTCAACATCAGCTTTTTTTTGTAGAAAGGAGGGGAAACAAGAGAGCTGGTCTGAACAGTTTTATTCATAGACATTAATTTTGCACTGGTTGGCCAAATAATGCTGATATTCTTCACGTGTCCCCTTCAGCTGCTTTGTCTTGGTTGTAGTGACCAGTCTGTATGCTGGAGGGCACTTCCTACCAAGATGCCTCTGCTGCTTGTCAGTTGCTGTTAAAGCTCTTACTTTCTTCCTTGGGGTGACCTCTTCCCAGATATGGTAGAGATGATGCTGATGCAAAACGCTCAGATGCACCAGATCATCATGCAGAACATGATGCTGAAGGCTCTGCCACCAATGGCATTCACGCAGTCTCCTGGAGCCAGCTCTCCCCTCCTTCAGCATGCACAGCAGGTAATGACACTGGAGTCTGAAGGTCGTCTTGCAATGGAGGCAATGGTTGATCTCCTTGGGAGGGTACAGGGCCTGGACAAAACATGCAGAAAATCTGGGACATTTAACAGCTGTGCACATCTTCAAACCCACTGTGCCAGAAGACTGTAACTGAGAAGAGCACAGCCTGCCTCTTTACCATCATGAGCGCTGTGACAAGACCCAGTGGAAGAATGTCTCCTCCACACGTGCAAACTGAATTCAGTCCAGCTCTGAAAATTATTTGTCCTGTACAGTTGAACCATAGCAGACTATGCATGGAAGACATCTACGCTGGGGATCTGCTGCTGCAGGTCCACTTGCTGCAAACAGCGTGGCAATATTTGTGTTACAATTCCTGTAACTGGTAAAATTTGACCTGGCAATTTGAAATGGGCTAGAGTTGAAGCACAGCTTTTGTGATCGTACTTGGAGCCCCACTGCGCTAGTTCCTGTCTCACTGAAAATCAATGGCTATTGAGCTGTGAAAGGACAGATCTTAAAGATATTTGGGGTTGTAGATCCCTATAGGGATTTTTCCAAAACCTGTCCAGTGCCTGATAAGAGGTAGGTAATTCTGAACATATCCTTAAATGCTCAATTCCTAAGCTATTTTTAACATGGTGATATAGCTCCTTAGCATCCTTAAGTGCTTTGGAAAAATATATTTCTAGGCCCTACTCTGTAGCATTTATTACCTAAGAAGCAAGGACAGTTGGGCTTTGGGGAGGAGGGCATGTCTCAGTGTTGCAAAAACCCTGTACTTTTCCTACCCCTCCATTTTCAGGTTAACTATGTCTTCCTTGTGCTGTAAGAAAGATTTATTTTCTTTTTCTTGGATGTTAATCTTGTCAGGTGCTGAGAATGTAAATCCCAAACTTCTGCAGTCCTTGCCCAGCTCAATCTCACTTTTCCTATGTGCTGTTTGCAAAAGCAACAAATGGCTTAAAAGCCTCAAAGACCCGGGTTTAATGGAGGGGTAGGAAGTGCAATCCTCCTCCATAGCCCATCCCATGGCATGGAGGGATCTGATGGGTTTCTGCACCTGTTGGGACCAAATGTCTGCCTCGGACAGAAAGCCTCTGACAGCAGCTGCTAGCTCTCGCGTTTTGGGACACTGATGTCCCAGGAGGCCGCCCATGGCACAGAGGGGCCCACTGGTTTCATCAGCCATGGTCCCAGGGTGGACTTGCTGTGGAAATGATAGGTAGTGCCAGCTCTTCCTCATGTCAGAGCTGCGCCAAGTGTTGCCTTGGACAGAAGTCCTTTTCTGTTTTCCTTAAACTTCGCAGTTTCTGATTTTGAATACTCT